TCACAGAACCTTGAAAAACTCTATTTTCTCTATTAGTCTATACTAGAAGTGAGTTATAATGAAAACTGTTTGTTTGCCTACATTCTTCAAAATAGCTTTATTTGTGTTCTGCAGAATAAAGAAAGTCATACAGGTTTGGAACAACACAGTATACATATTTCTGCCAATATAACTGCCAGACAGACATGTGTTTGTTTTTGTGAAGAGGTTATTACTTATGTCTACTCTGTTGACTGTAATACATGAATGAATGAAACAGAGGCAGCAATATCACTGCTATGTTAAAATCCGCCACCAGGAGGCAGATTCGGCAAAACTTCAGGACAGGACAGAATTAGAGTCTAGATTAGCAAATGTGCTACAATGTAGTTTAATTTCACAGGCAACATAATAAATGTTATACATTAGCTATATTGTAAAATAAAATGATTTAAAAAAAAAAAAAGATTATAAAAAATGAAGTGCTATGGAAAAAGTGTGGAGCTTCTGTCTTCTGAACAGGGAATGTTTTTTTGGAAAACAGTCACTTGTAGACAGAATATAAACTCCACATCCAGTGGCATTCTTGAACTCAGCTGCCGGATGGTCTGTGAAATCATACGGGAGCAACCAGCTGCAAAAGCCCTCTTTAATTATGATTAATATAGTGACAAAGTCTTTTTGAAATATGAGCATATGAACATGTTTCAGTGTGAGCGAGTAGTCAAAACTATTCTGAGGCATCCAAAGGAGAGCAGGTCATCTGTCTCCCATCGGGAGCAATCATGTTCCTGTCTGCCCGACTAATCCACTGCCAAAGCTGTGAACATGAGTTCATAAAGAAAACTCTTATTCCCCGAGACGTGCGAGACAAATGATGTGATGACAAAACGCACAGCTCTGAATCGCCGTAATTATTTTCTTCTTGCTTTTCATGCAATATTACAGATTATCCACATCTGATTTTACAGTGTTTTGTTTTGTTTTGCAACTTCAACCTCGTAGTTTTTATTTTAATTTCTTTCAATACTGGCATGAATTAATAATGTGCATTAACTTTTAGGGATGAACTACACAAATGCATTATATTTATGCTTTTTAAAAGACTTTTATAGTTTAATTTCGGCTAGTTAAACATTTAAATCATTGTAATAATAAATAATGACTAGCCTACAAAAACTACATATGAAAAGACATTTTAGCTTCTCTTTCTTATAGCTACTTTAAAGCAGTGTTTATAATAATTTAACCGACGCAATTATGTTGTCCAAATTGCTGGATAAACCCACGAATAAACACATTACAAAAAAATTGTAAAAGTTGACCTTGGTTTTGTATAAAAGCACTTAAAATCTAGATGTTATCGGATATAAAATCACGTAGCAAAGCAAGAAAGTAGCCTATTTAGAAAAGCGGATTCTTGATACAAAATAAAGATAAACACAATTCCTTAATTGGTTATAAAAGTATATAGGCCTAAGCTTAAAGGTTTATTAACTTGAATTAAGGAGACCCCCCTCCCAAATACACACTTTCTGGTCTTGGGCTTTTTTATTTTTTAATTTTTAATTTTTGTATTATTATTCTTTTTTTTTTTTCATATATATTGATTTAGAGTCGTGTTTAAGGTTCCCTGTTTGGGTTATAATTGCCTCTTTTTTTATTGACGTAGACTTCTTTCAGCGCTGTTCCAGTTGTTTGTATGTCAAGATTTTTGTATGGGTATATATTTCTGTTGACATAATCTTTTGTACATGTATAGTCTTTGTACTTTGTATATTTTGGAGTATATTAGGTTTTAAATATTGTTTCGTATATTTCGGCCATTCACCCTTCAGTTTAACTGATTAGTTTTAACCAAATTATTATTATTATTATTATTATTATATATTTTTTTATAGATATACTTCTATTTGTTTGTATGTCAAGATTTTTGTATGGGTATATATTTCTTTTTACATAATCTTTTGTACATGTATAGTCTTTGTACTTTGTATATTTTGGAGTATATTAGGTTTTAAATATTGTTTCGTATATTTCGGCCATTCACCCTTCAGTTTAACTGATTAGTTTTAACCAAATTATTATTATTATTATTATTATTATATATTTTTTTATAGATATACTTCTATTTCATTTATCATGGTCTTTGTTTTTTGTTTGTTTTTTCTGTTGCAAAGCTGATTGTTTGTCTGGGTTATTCTGTATATTAAACAATGTCAAAACAATAAAAAATTGATAAAAAAAAAAGTATATAGGCCTATCTAATTGCAAACATAATCCAATGTTTAATGTTACACTTTGAAATTGAATTTTACATAATTAATTTTTTTTTTAAATAAACATCGCAAGAAAACAAAAGAAACCATTTGTGAATATTTAATTCTATAATAAGTCTTGACATTTAGCACAGGTCATATTTAGTTGAAGCAAGTCTAAACACAGCTGCCTTAAATTAAGTGTTAAAAACGTGTTAGATTAAATATAAATCCATTAAAAATCCCCACGCATGCAGCCAGGTCTCGTGCATGAGTTTCCTTCAGGAGGTGTTAAATGTGCAAGTGATTGGCAGGGATGAAGAGCTCTGTGGTTTCATCACTGCACAGACTCATTTAGATAACACCCATCTCACCCCTCTGCCCCGTCCTTTCCTAAACAGGTCGGCCTACAGGAAGTTTTCAAGAGTGTTATCCAACTCTTTATCTGCTCCAAATGCGCTGTTGAAAGACAAACCTGCAGCTGCAGTTGCTTTGCGGGAGTTTGTGCCTCTTCTTCTCTCGACCATGACTAGTCTGTCATAATATTTATTTCAGAAATGCATCAAACAAGACGAATTATTCGACTCTGCTCCAAGCAAGCTCTGTCTCAGAAAACCGTTGTAAACTCTCAGACACATTTGCACGTATTGATACGCAAAAATTGACTTTGGCGTTGATATGATACGCATGTGTTTGGCGTGCATATAATACGCAGTTTTCGCGTGCATATGATACGCATCTACCCCACAACCCTAAACCTACCCATCGCGTAGCATATACACGCCAAATACATTTTTGCGTATCAGTACCACGAGTTTTCGTTTTTATTTGGCGTACTATTTATACGCACTTTCATAAGATCGGGTTGGACTGCCACTGACTGCAGTGGCGCTCGGTGGAGGAGATGCTTCATAAATCACCGTGATATAAAGCAGTTTCCATAAGCTGCGGAGTCAGTTTACTTTATTTCACCAATTATTGCAGCGATGGATAAGGGAGTGTTGATTCGCTCATAGAGAAAAGTGCTCGCGTTCATTTATCAGAAACGCCTGTCTGAGACTCGGACGCACTGATTTTCTCCAAAACTATAAACATGAAGCTCTAGTGCAGACACGAGCACCATTTACTCTGCAGCATCAACCGTTAGAGATCAAATAAACGATAATACTGTCTGTCTCCTCTGCACAAGCACAAACGATGACTAATATCCAGAGGAACGGCACCACTGTCCAATGCTGCGGCCAAAAAACTGGATTAGTGTCCATATTGCAGTGTAATTACAGTTTTAACATATAGGAACTAGCTACTTAATATGCAATTGCTTTAAGGAACTTGTAGTTAGTTTATTATTGATGAGTCACTAAGCATGTATTACAGTAATGAATTACAGAAACTGATAGGCTGAGTAACGTGTAACAGATAGTGTAACATTGGTATTACCGAATATCACAAATGTCCAAAACGAGCCTATTTGATTAAATAAAACTGAAATAAATGCAGATTAATTTAAATTTGAAATAAACACTTTTAATTAGAACTAATTAACATAAATTAGAAAATAAAGAAACTAGTAGCCTTTCTGTAGGCCTGTTGTCTAAAATTGTATTGTCTGTTGTCTAAATGCATTGTTTAAATAGAAAATGCAAGGAACATATTTGATCTAAAATGAACGTATAGGCCTATATATACAGTATATATATATATATATATATATATATATATATATATAATTACATAATTTTTTTATTATAATTACATGAACATAATTACATGATAATTACAAATTTATTCAAAAATATAAAATAAAAGATGTCCAAACTGGTATCTGTAACTACCACACTATCAGTCACAGATGTCTAAGTCTAATCTGTAAGCTACATGTGTTCTTGTATTATATCATTTCATATTTTATATGAATTGCCATGTGTTGCTCTTCTGCTGCATGCGGCTGTTCGGCGTGGGTGGGTTTCTGGTTTGTTGTCATCTGTTATCACGTCTTGATAACAAACCCAGTGGCACCAGAATCTTTCAGTGGTAGACAGTTGGGTTTGTCATTGCAGGTTTCAGGTTCCAGCAATGGCACTGTCTGATCCCTTGGAGAAAACTCTTCTCTGGCCAGTAGTTTCCTCTGGATTAAGCAATTAAGAGGAAAACAAACAAACCGAGTGCGCACTCTTGCGCTCAGTGCCAGTTCAAGCCAAAAGGGACATTTGCAGCCTCGTAGGTAGCTAAGGGATGATTTAAATCAATCTCAAATAGTCTTTGATGCTGACATGGCATTACATAAATATATACTATCTATCTATTTAAATCCATCTCTCTCAGAGCTGACAGACTTCACTTGATAATAAAGCGTTGACTTGAATTGCAGCATTGCAACTAATAAAGACAGGCAACACCGAGCGAACGTTAAAAAATAACAAGATTAATATGGATAGCAGCAATGTTTGTTGGTGTTAGTAAAGTTGCTATAATTGGTGGATATTATATGCATGGACTTGTATGGAACTCTCACAAGTCATTTTAATATTATGCGTCATTTGGCCAATGACAAGCTCTGAAATGTTGAGCCCCGCCCCCTGCCTCATTACAGCATGCAGTCACTCCTTAGCTACACCCCAAAAGTGTGTTATGAGGGCTCTATTAGAAACATAAGCGTGGGATTATAGGCTACCTCTAAACACAAAAGTTTTACCCTATTCATTAAACGACTAGGCACCCCTGATAAATGCCAACCGGGTCGCCCAAGCGGACCATCATTCCATGGCAATGTTCTCCAGCCAGATGACTTCCACTCCTTTCTCAGTGCGGGACATATTGAACCTGGAGCAGAATCAGGAGGACTTGGTCTCTCTGGACATGTCTCAGCGGCTGGACAGTGCCCTTGTTCCGACCTCATCCTGCATGCTGTCCACTTTCAAACAAGAGCAGTTCATGGAAATGCCATCCGGAGCCTCTCTCTTCAGCGAAGACCTTCAGGACGACAAAGGCAACAAAAACAGCTCTCTGAACTTCGATACCGCTGCCTTTTATGGGAAGAATTTCCTAGAAATGGACTATGTTAAAGACGCAAAGACGGACGACACGTTTGAAGACAAAGAGACAAAAGGTGAGCGTTCACAAGAGTCGGACATTTATAGGAAACTAAAGATGCGTTTCATGATTATTAAAAACTTGGCTGAAAAATGCATAATAGCTCATAACATTGAGTTAAATAAAATTAAAAAAATAAATAAGCGCACGTGTCTAGATTGATTCTAACACTAATTAGACTACCATAATTGTAATTTTTTTAGTTATTTTTATTCCGCTTTTTAGTAGGCCAATAAAACTGCCGTTTTTTCGCCAGATAAAGTTCATGATTAAAAATCACTATGTGCACTCTTAAAAATAGGCCTAGTGTTTTTTTTTTTTTTTTATTGTTATCTTAGGATCCATGGAGAAAGTTTAACATCCACCGATCCTTCTTCAAAATAAAATGTGCCTCACACTTTTTTTATTTTAAGAACTGTTCAGAAAAGTTCTTTAGGGAATTTAAAATAGTTATTTTATGTCATCGCTGCGAAAACTCAATTTGGAACCTTTATTTTTAAGAACGTATAATGGAATAAAACGGCACCAGTGCATAAGATTCAACTCACTGAACTTTAAAATGTTTTAAGTTACGTTTTAAAAGTTTTAAATGATGTTTTACATTTTTTAAGTAAAATCCAAGAGGTTCAAACCTCCCAAGAGGTTACAACCTGCAGCGAAAAGGTCACTTATTAGTCCCTATGAATAAAAAAAAGGTAGAAATTAAGCCGTTTCATTTCTAAATGGAATGATTGAATACAAACGTGGACCTAAGTGTTATTATATTGACGATTTGTGTCCCATTAAATTCTATCAATGAAATAAATCATCCATTTTCAGACATCAGCTGCTCTCAGGAAGATCCAAGTGAAGATCTGAAGCTGGATGATGCGGATCGACCCAAGCAGAGGAAAAGAAGGAAGCCTCGTGTTCTGTTCTCTCAAGCGCAGGTGTACGAGCTGGAGCGACGCTTCAAACAGCAGAAATACCTCTCTGCACCTGAGAGAGATCATCTAGCCAGCGTGCTCAAACTCACCTCCACACAGGTCAAGATCTGGTTCCAGAACAGACGCTACAAGTGCAAGAGGCAGCGTCAGGACCAGACCCTGGAGATGGTGGGCATCGCTCCTCCGAGACGCATCTCGGTGCCGGTTTTGGTTCGGGATGGAAAACCGTGCCTGGGCGACGCTTCCACATACAACACCTCTTACAATGTGGGGATCAATCATTTCACCTACAACAGCTATCCTGCTTTTAGTAATTTCCCGAGTCCGGGCAACACGAACTACTCATGCAGCTATCCGTCGAGCATGTCCTCCATCCAGCCCTCACAGTCCAACAGCAACTACATCAACTTTGGAGTTGGAGATCTAAATAACGTGCAGGCTCCGTTTCAGTCCAGCAGCGGGGTTCCCTCATTACACGGCATCCGAGCTTGGTGAAAAAAAAAGAACTTTAATTGCATGTATGGACATTTATATTCAGATAATATTTTCATAATTGATGATTACTATTTGAATAGACAGAATGCGGGCCGGGATGGTTTTGCTCTGTCAGATGCAATATGCATTCTTTCTTATGCTTTAATAGCTATTTTTCCGTATAGCCGACGCGTCGTTTTCTTTAAAAACATGTCTGAATAATTTGCTTGCACTTGAGTTAAATTATGAGAGATAAACCGCACGTGAAATAGGTAGATTATTTATAATTTTCACCAGATGTATTATGAGGCTTTTATAAATCTCGAAAGAAGTTCCTATGTTTTATCTTTCTTTCTTTTTTTTTCAAGGCCAGTCTCATTTTTATAAAAAAATTAACAGACCATTAATATTAACTGTAACCAATAAAGGGCAACAATTAATGAACTATTATTAACTATTGTTAATATCCAGAAAGTACCGCACGAATACGGCTCGTATTAATGTGCTGTTATTCATTTGCTTGTGTAGCTAAGTCTGATATGTAAACCTTTTAAAAGAAAATAATAAAGGCTTTTCAAGAATGTAGCCTATGCACTTATTATTTGGTTTGAGGATAACAATTAATTTTAATTAATTTTAGCATAAACAATACTAATAATTTATATTTGACGTATAGGATAATTAAAACTATATTCGTAAATTTGTATTTACAAATTACATTCCTAAAATTGATAAACACTTTATTATTAGTGTTATAAAAGTTATCTTATTCCTGTTCCTTATTTGTAGGCCTTGACGACTTCATCTATATTTTCCATTAAAGTGTTTTGTTGTTGTTGTTTTACCCTTTTTTTACTTTAACTTTTGCTAAACACGATTTTACAAGTTTAAACATTTTCGGGGTCACTGTTTTACCAAAGATGAACCTGAGATATAGGCTACCTACTTTTCTATGACTTATTCGTGTCAATCAAATAAAAATATTAAAAATAAATATAATATTTAATAAAGACGTTTCAGCGAGGACTTGAACAGAGGTTAATTCTTGCGCTGTAAACCTGCAGAAATAACCCCAGATTGCAAAAAGGCCTAATTCAGCATTTATCATTTTTCTGTATCATGTGATTTGATTTGTCAGGTCGTCAGAGTAAAACGTGCAGCTGAGTTTAATGTTAAACTGAACTCTCTAATCGCGCATCCACCAGCAAAATGCTTTTGGTCGATCGCAACAGATGTTCAAACCTAGACCATTTACATTTTTTTGTATGCTATTCTTGCAAAGGTTGATTTCACACTTGATTGACAACACAAAAGTGCTCTGCTTAGTGTGCAGAATGGCACAATTTGCTTGACATGGAGAGGTAAGGGTGCATGGCTGCGCATGCAAAGACTTGGATGGAGGAGGGAAGGAGATCCACATTTGCTGCCACTTAAAATGAGTAATAGATTGCCCTCGGGCATCTCTCTGGCCTCTCCACACATATCAGTACAATTCCCCCTCTCCACTGCATCTACCTACAACTGAACCAGCATCTAGCTGAAATATATATTACAATAGCAAGCTTACTGTGGAAATGATGGTCGTTTCAAGTCAAATACAGGGCCACTGAGATGTACAGAGAAAGGTCACACAGTTACAATAGTGGCCCACTCTTCAGAGGCGTTGAAAAGAACAAGTCAGATAACATGGACGCACATCTCTAAAAATAACAGACCTTGTCCTCCGGCCACAATGGAAGGAGAATGACAGAGAGAGAGAGAGAGAGAGCGAGAAAAAGACCAGGGATGGAATAATCAGCTTTTCCGGGTCTTATCGGAGCAAAGACAGGGTCGCATGCCTCTTTATCAGCGGAGCTCTGATTATGGCCATGGCTTTTCTGAGCTTTTCCCCTGTGATACTCTGGTTCTGTCCCGCTGCTGCTTCATCACTGAAGCAGTTTAACTCACCTAAATTGCCTGTCATACTGTAGGTGTCCATGTGACAGCCTCCAGCGTATCCCAAGAGTTAAATCAACTCTGCTCAGAGTACATATTGTCCCA